GAGAACTAAGATAAATGAATTTGTCGACCACTTCCAGCGATTGCCTCGAAAAGATTGAGAGAAGGGCATGCACTTGGCCAGTTCTGTAACAGCACCTAGCGTTTAGAAGGGGCAAAGATCAACTCAAATTGGGAGGCGGACATCTCCAGTCTGAGCAGTACATACTGGGCAGCCTGGGAGCACTCGCAAATCACAGCGATGTCATCGGCGCAGAAAGCGGTCACCAGGGAGCAGGACTCAGAGTTATCCAGGATCTTATCCATGGCGAAGTTGAACAAGAATAGAGATGCTGGGCAACCGTGTCTAACACCGCTAGTGATACTGAAAGGGGGCGAAATGTCTCAGTATACTCGCAGGCGGCCCGAAGTTTGATGGTAAATGGCACAGAGAATGCTGAGGTGCTTCTCAGGTACTCCCCTCTTCAGTAAGTAGTCCCACAGAGCCACTCTGTCTACTGAGTCAAACGCAGCTCGAATGTCCAAGAATGTTACTACGGTTGGTCGACTGAACGTAGGGCGATGTTCAAGTATCTGGCGGATCGTAAAGATGTGATCGACGCAACCGCAACCCGGGCGAAATCCAGCTTGTTGTTCACGCAGGTGCTGTTCCCGTACGCAACTGAACCTTCTAAGTGTAGGGCAGCAAGCAGTTTGGATGCGACACAAATGAGACTGATGCCACGATAGTTGGAGAAAGGGTCCGGTTCCCTTTTTGTAAACAGATACAACATCCGTTAAATTTCAGTCTGGTGGAATGGTTTCAATAGTCCAAATCTGACGGAAGAGAGATCTCAGTTCACAAGTGAAAGCAGGATCCCCATATTTGACTACGGCAGGATGAAGTTCATGTGAGCCAGGTGAATTGTAGCGCTTCAGTAGGCGAAGCTCATAGGAAACCTCAGTCGGTGGAGAAACATCCATGCAGCAGGGAGCACCGTGCACCCCGAAATATGGACTCGGTTGTGCTGCTGGCCAGTTGAACTGGTTTTCAAAATGCTCTGCTCACCGTACCAGACGACGGCGACGACTGTGAATCAGTTCACCGTCATTTTTACGCAAAACCTAGCTCACTGTTGGCATTCTGCCTTCTGTGGAGCGAATAAGTTGGAAGAGCTTGCGGGAGTTTCATAATGAGGCTGCGCACTCCATCTCAACGATGCGCTGTGTTCACCAAACCTCGCGATTTTTCCTGAGGAGCTCTCTGAGTTCAGCACCTGTGGTTCTGTGTAGTGTTGTACTTAACTCCGGTGGGAATCTTTTGAAGAATTTCCATTAATTGGAGAGATTGTGCAGAGATCCAATGACTAGCAGCTCGTCTAGTGAACCCACATACCAGGGTACCGGACCTTCGTAAGGCGCTCTGGATCTGTGTCCAGTGTGTTTGAACATTGGAGAATAGAGGACATAGCTTGGAGGTTAATGTGTTCTGAAATGCGCCGAGAACAATTGGGGCAGCTAGCTTGTCTGTGTCAAGCCGTTTCCGGAGACGCTGTTGGGTGCCTCCAAAGCGCAGAACGAAGTTAGCACACACCAGCGCATGATCCGAAGTCAGGTAAGTGTTCCAAATTGATTTGCAGTCCGTTATGCCGTCCCGCTAACCGTTACTAACAGCGATGTGGTCGATCTACGTCCAAGCTTGACCAAGCGCTGGAGGTCGCCAGATGTCTCGTTGGCCCCAGGAACGTCGGAAATTGGTGCTGGAAAGGAACAAGCTGCGTCCTGCGCAAAGTTAAAAAAATCGATCGCCGTTGTTCATCCTGCAAATACCGTGTCTGTTGCGCCAAACAAACAGTGTTTAGTTGACTCGCGACCGCACAATCGTATGGATACTTCTAGCCGAATTGCACAGGATTAGTTATTAATTGGAATCCAAACAAGTAGCGCTGCTTCTGCGCGCGCAGTAAACAATTCGTATGTCAGCCTGGTCCGCGGCTTCTTCACTTATGTCTCCCGATAAGTTTGGCTTGCATGTGTCCTGCAAACGATCCAAGGATTACGTACATTCATATCCACGTGTGTTATGCACACATAGAGCTTTTCAGTTACCCAGATAGGGTAAAGGGGTTAACTTATGTAATCAGAGCCAGCGCCTAAGTTCTTAAAGTCCTTACCCACAAAGCAGTGAGGCAATTAATATTTATGGCGAACCATCGAGAGCCGATAACACCACTTTCGAGTGGCAACAAACTACCTATGGCGCCGGAATAGCACGAGTATAGTAGTAAAGGACCAGGAAACGTTTCCGGAAACATCTGACTCGTTGTTCAATGCGAACACAGTCAACAGCCAGGTGGCTCAAACGCCTTCTTAGTGTTGGATGGTAGTCCACCAAACAGCAAGTAGTAATTAAGAGTGTTCATCCACCCACTGTTAGGTACTTCATTCCGGTTAAAAAGCGCGTGGTCACTGTCCCCTATAACCGGAAACATTGGCTTTGTGCTGTTTAATGCATAATCAGATGGCCACACTCGAACTCCCCACGCTCTGAGATGCTGCGCTGACTGTACGCTGCCGCCTATTAAAACACACCTGCGGAAGAAGCGTGAGTCATTCACACTTGTCCTTAGTAGGAAGGCGTTGCCAGATTCGCAATATGCGAGAGCACGCGGCGGCGTACAACCAGCCCGTAAGCCGCTTCCTGTTAAGATGTCCGATTCACAACGTCGGCTAGCAGCACTACTCTTTTAGCCACAGCACGTCATGGTATCACCGCAGCATTAGTATACGCCTAACAGTGGTATCACCACCATCTTTAGATTTTGTGGTCTACATCCTACCTACCTACCTACGGCACTCGTTGAGCCTTCACATCATTGCCCCCTACTAAACAGTACTCAGTGTAACTTGCACACGTTGCTTTGAAGCGCATTGCGCGCTAGCCGTGGAACAAGCACTAAGATAACTCATATATCAGCTGCATTACAATCTTATTGTTCGCGTTGATATGTCGCCCATCGCAATCGCAGGACGCCAGGATGTTTTCTGTGCTGCGATCATCGCACCAGTGAATGTGTCTATGTCCCACCGGTGCACATGTGATTTAGCGGTTTGACCAAAGTAACCTGTGACCCCCCCCCAGCGCTTCAATGCGCCACTCGTATCGTGCCTGTTGCCCCGTGCACGCCATGTGTCCACAGCACGCGATAGATCGTACGGACAAGCGCCTGGGGTTTAGCTTAGGAACATGGGCTGTCGGCCGTATCAGAATGCGAGTAGCCAGTGGCCCTATTTGATAATATCACACTGACTCCGTTTCCCCTTAGTCGGCTGTGGGTGACCTCAGATATTAACGAGTTACTACCCGCATCCCCTGTCATGTAATCCGTCACCGCCCATGTGACAAGTCGCACACGAGGAACTCCGGGCTGTAGTGATTCCCCATATATCCCCGTGCACTACACATGCGTACACGTAAGTATTGTGTATCCTGGTTGTTTGATACCCGAAGGATATATCACACAACTGCAAATTCATCTATGTACAAGGGTCTACACGCGACTTCATAATCGGATGTTCCTGTACCTTTAACCTTTCTGGACGGATTGTGTACCAGATAGTACGAACCAGATAATGCGTGGCTAGTGTATCTCATAAAGTACACACACTCTTAACCAGAGTCGGACTTTTTAAAATCCCCACTCGTCCCATCCCGGAGTATTGCAGCATAATCTGTTGCAATATGAGGAAATCTGGTAGAACATCGATAGAAAGCCTGCAACGGTCATTTGCTGAACACTTACTAGGCAAAAGTTCTACCAAGAACTATCAGGAGCAGTGCCAGAAACTCCATCTCGATCCGCTTTTGCTGCGAAGACTAAAACATGATGCTGTTGTACAACCTGATTCCTGACAGGGCCTATTTTGCAGTCTGCCTACGTAACAGAATCTAGCCTGGTTATACTACGATGCAGGACAAATTTACGGTTTAACTTCTTTTTAATCAGATATGCTACTTAGTGGAATCAGCTCCCAATCACAACCAGGTCTTGTGAGACTGTTCAATCATTTCGCAGTAAACTGGATAGCTACTTCGATTTGGAGACCATTACGTCCTTTTGTTCGCGGGGAGGATCAATTGACGATGGAGTTAATGGAGGCCCAGATAACGTCTAATGGGTGTAATCCCACAACTTCGCGCGATGTAATTAACCCCTAGTTTTTGCAATGTACTCCAACTACAATAGTGCCTTCGTATAAAACACAAACATATGAGACACATATCTTGCCAGAAACACAGTCAAATATAAGAGGATATCTTTATTTTGCACACGCAAGTGCATGATATTACCTGTACATGTATTGTCTGTGCAAAGCATGGACACAGCTTCTTACTTAGTGAGAAAGATACCTGTTATTATTACACTGATTACTAAGGAGGTGCACTATAGTTGCCATAACTATGGACTGGTCCTATCTTGCAACGTGCTGGTGCATGGCCGCCGCTCTGTTTATGCTTGGTACACATGCTCGCTCCAACTTAACGTCAAAGATATGGAAGAGAGCGTTCGCTGGCCCCAAATTAACTGTGTGGCTCCCATTCGAATGCTTCTCGGTTTCACCTCTTCGGATTCGCACTGCATGTAGGCGTTTTGGTGAGAATGTACATAGTGCTATGCAGGCCACCCATTGTCCCTTTTGCATTCGCACACGTACTGTGTCTGTCCGCCATCGAAGATACAGGCCACTAGCCACTGCAGCAAACGTTCTTCTTAGTGTACATTTCACTGACCCAATCGGAGAGGAAGATGTTTGATCTACGGTCTACGTTTACAACCATAAGTTTCTCCCTCGTAGGATCACACTCTGTGTCACATGTCAGCCCGCAAGTGAATACTCCGTTCACTTTCTGCTACAAGAGGCACTCCATCGCTGACGCTTCACAGTTTTAGACAGTACCCCTATTGCACTGCGATTGCGTCACACTTTATCGACTATGATGGAGTTTCCTGCCAGCAGACTCAGCGTTACACGCGAAGAACATTACTTTGGGAACCCGTTACTATGGCCGTATCTTCCGAAATCGACTTCAGCATTTCCCAGCAAATATGTGGACAGATATCAAGAAGGCGGTAAGTGCATGCCACGTTCTGCACCGACGTTTTTCTTTAAGTATTCGACTTGGAGCGCGTCCCGTGTAGAAAAGCTGCTGCAGTTTAGCTAACGCCGAAATGATTTGTCCGCAGCCCGCCCATATCCTGCATTCTGGTCGTATTGCTGTTCATTCATCTCTACAGTTGATTACCTTAAGGAAATTCTGTTCCATTTGCTTCCCCATCTACCAATTTCACTCGTTCCCGATACTCGATCTGTCCAATGCGGTTAATCTATTCATTATAATGATTCGAGCGGTTTTTCCGTTACTCTTTTATGAGAGAACTTCACACTTTCAATGACGAGGTCACACAGAAATATGTGCTAGTATTCTTGGCAGCCGCTGTACTTGGAGACCCTGCTCTAAATGCAGCAGTATGGACCATTTCGGATACTTCGACACGTAATTTGTTCAATTCCTCTTGTTAATACGCTTGTTCCCATTAGCAACAGACCGATAAGCCTGAGTTTAATACACGAAGCTTTGTGGACCAGCGATCGCGACACATCAGGCTGGACGATTAGGGCGACTGCTTTCTTAATTTTGCACCATTGTGAATCAAATTGCCGTCATATGCCGACCTCTATTATCTGTTGACAAATACTGAAGAGTAGTAATAATAATAATAACAATAATAAGATTAATGCGCCAGCTGTACGCCGTAACGGCGCTTCGCTGCCGTGCGACCACCACCAGTCGCGCGCGCGCTGAGTATACCGCAAGGACGCCCACCCCTACGCGGATTCGAACCGGGGACCTTATGGTTGCAAACCAGGTGCGCAGACCACTCGGCCACCGACCGACACTGAATGGCAATCATTTTTCAGATGTTACCCACACCAATCACTGCCCTACATAAACATTTTCTTTCCTGTTTGATTCGTACCGGTGTATGTGGTCGGGGCTGACACGTAATGGCTGCCTGTAATTGCCCTCATCCCCAGACGACTACATTTCGCGAACCGCGCTATCACAGTGAGTAGGAGTCCATGATTGTACGTGCTGATGCTTCATAATTTTTTCAGCCTCCCTACTCTCCATATTTGGTATATGTCAACCGTTAATGATCCTCTTCTACTACCTAGACACGTAACTTGGGCCTTACCAGTAGTCTGTCACAGGGAGACAGCACATCTTGCTTCCTGATTTGTTCGTCTCCTCAAATTCAACAGTTCCCGTCGTGGAAAAGACTATTCTCCAGCACTTCTCGGTGGTCAACCGTGATGTTGAATCTGAGCGATTACTCCCTGAATTCACCACACACGCTGCTGAGCTGCATTGGCTTTCTGTCTTGTGAGGCAAAGTTGAGTCCCGGATTGCGATTCTCTGACAAAGTGACATATATACAGTTAGCCTATGCAGCCGACTTCTGAGTCAACCGTCTTAGCTTGGAATACAACAATCACATGATTTGTACCATCTGCCCACATAACCCGGTCTTCGGCGTATTTCCCTCTTCCTTTTTGTCGTTTATCTTGAGTTTTCCCCTTTGATGCGTCCGCAGTATACTGTTGTTTTTTGTCAGGTTGCTAATCCAGCTCAGACCTTTTTCGAGTCCATGATTCCATTCCACACGGTATTTTTCGGCTTTCGCGTCCCACCACATCGGTGAACACATGATGCCAGATTTTGATCTGCGCTCTGTTGAAGTTCATGGGCACTGGGTCTCCGGAGTATTTGCACGGCACATCATCTTAATAGCACATGTTCGATCGCCGGGCTTCGGTTCCACTATCGTGTTAGGCGCATCGCGTTACTAGCTGCACCGATTCCATGATACACGTGATTTGTGGCACCGGAGTTGCGCTGTGCATGATTACCTGGGGGAGTCGTAATTCAGCGCACCTCAGTGAATAGCCACGCCTTGTGTTTGAACTCCGAATTGTTGTTTCGCTTAGCGAAGTCTGAAAACACCAAACATTTTTGTTTCTCTGGGCTACGCTGCTGCCAACTCGGAGGTCGTAAAAGATCGATTGCGTCACCATTTATCATATCTGAATTTGTAGTGGAGCACACAGTCCACCCAGTGATGTAGCAGATTGTGTGATAACTACGATACTACTTGTATGTGCAATTGCTTGTTTCTCAAATTGGAAACGCGTCCCGCTTCTCCAGTACTATGCTTATCATCTATTTATACTTTTCCAAAACCGGATACGGATAATTAATTGTTGTTGGTGCTGTGGAACTTTAAGTCGGTTGTTTGTCAGAACCAGAAAATAGCCCATTAATAGCCAGAGCGTCACATATGCTCGTGCCGCTGCACATGGTACTCACTGACCTGAAAATTTCTTCAGCGTCAGTTCGACTACAAAACCATCAGACATTAATGGCGCATGTCAGCCTCAGATGGTTTATCGATCTGAATGTGTCGTAGCGCGCAACTATATGATTGCTGTTAATACGCACAGCTCAGGTTCCTACTTTGTTACTTGAACGCACTTCGCCAGACTGCGTGGCGATATCACTCGGTATTTACTAGTCATGTGTCGGATGCGAATTGACTTCACCGCCATGGTACCATGACAGATGCGTTCTGTTTACTCCGCGTGCACACGGATAGTGAGCACATTTCTCTACACCTTTGATGGCAGCTGGTACTCTGCTCTTGTTCGAAACCCAGCTGCAGAAGCAACTGCTTATTCTGTCTCATCCGGATGACTGCTCCTGTCCGTGACCCATCAACGTTAACACTGGACTGACTTGTTTACGATGCAATTCAGTTTGCCATCGTTTTCAGAGTCGCATCATCAGATTTTGAATCAGACGAGACTTATCCCTTCACCAATGCAACCTCGCATAAAAGGCAAGGCATCATCAATACGCAGTGCTGACACTTCGCTGCCGCGCAACCACCGACAGTCGCACCTAGGCTGAGGATACTGCGAGGGTCGCCCGGTCCCTACGAAGACTCGAACCCGCGCCCACGGATTACAAGGCAGACTTGTTATCCTTAAGGTTACGGGCCGGTTAAACCTCGCATACGCTTACATTGTTTTGATATAAAAGGCTTCTAGCGGCCTTACTGCAGCGTCTTCCCACGGATTGCTGGTCTAGAATCGCGCTTCGACACTGCTGTTGTTTATCTTCATGTCATGCGTAAAAGTCCTCGTTGTGTTATTTTGCTCGGTGTTCCCTCCATGCTACGCATGGTTGTCTTGCTTCGGTGGATCGCCGACCCACGATGGCAGTTGATCAGTGAAAGATGGCTGATTCGATTCCCTCCCACTAACGTGTGTTGGCTGATCACATCCTTATACGATTGCTTGGACATTGTCACTCATATGAGCGGCTCTGTGCTTATTTTTCCTCTACCTGAGAGCTGTCTCTGACCACGTCGACTGCGCCTACTCTCATTCTTGGCCGCCACTTAAAGGTAGGCCCTCTAACCTCTCTTCCATTTTTCAATCCCTGCTTCGACTCCCAGTGTGACACATAATAACTGCTTCTCTGGGTTTCTCTTGGATTAGCTTTTAAATAATTCGCGTGTGTGCATCTCATTCGCTACACCTTAGGTGTACGGACGATATTGTTTTATTCGTAGTCGGGCAGACGCGATTGAGTAGCTTAGTGTAGGACTCTGCACGTCACAGTATGTGCCCTATACTTTTAAAGTGTAAGTTACGACTTCAGATCTAGTCTTCCACGCAACCAGCTCCCGCGAGATTCAAATCACTGCTTTGATCCGTAGGTCACTGTGTATTTAGGCAATCCTTTAGACCCTGACAATCAATCCACCAGAGTGGTTAGCACGCATATGTGAAAATTGTATCAACTAGCAAACCGTCATCATCCACAGATGTCCTAAAGCATTCTCGATCCTCAAAGACCCATATTGTATTGAGTGCAGATAGTGAGAGTCACCAGTTGGTATTTGATAACAGACTTTCTCACATTTCCAATAACCAACTCAAGCTTACACCGTCCGATCTGGTTAGGTCACAATCGCATCATGTCTTTAAATCTACATGTTTTCTATCTGTTAACACTTGTATTTTTCACATCCCTTTCGCATTATTTGTCTCTCTCCTGATTGTTTATATCTTTTATTACTGTGGAGTATGGCACATTTATTCAATTCCCCCAGTGACCTCATCGAGTTATTGTCTATCGTCATAACGTCCGGATCACTGGCACGGCAGTCTAATCTGCACTTTATTCAATCTAACCAATGCTCATATTTCTCCTTCTGATGCAAGACTTGTTAATTTCTTGTTTGTAGAGGATACAAAGTGACTCTCAGATACTGCAGAAGCGAATGTTGCTGAGCCCGTTTTCGCGTCAACGTCATCAGCAGTACACCAGTACAATGTACCAACGCTTCGCTGCCACGCGACCACCACCGATCGCGTGTGGGCTAAGTATACCACAATGACGCCCTGCTCCTACGAGGATTTTAACCAATGACCTAAGGGTTACAAGCCAGGCGTGCCGACATAGTGGTATCTTAGAGAGCCATTAACACGTAACATTGGATACAGTTTAGCGGTTGATACTGACTATCTTGCTCGGGAGTGTAAAGTTGATCAGGAACCACTGATCTCGATAACATACAATTTGGAGACATTGTCAACTGTTAAAGGATTGAGACAAGGCACCGCAATGTTCTCCGTCAGCAAGTTGATAGGGCGCCTTTCGTATGGCTTGAATGGCGCTACTACGAAGCCGATATGTTTCCAAACGAGGGTCAGCCTAAGGGCACCCGATCCGGTGCATTCGGTCGAAACTATCCCTCTGAAATTCCCGGGTAGCTAATATCCCTTCTTTCATGTATACATGGTAAAGAATCGTTCTTCCGACACTCCACATGACAGTTTGAATAGTTTATCTGACCACTTGACTAAGACATACGTGGCGGCTGAGTGTATGTTGTGTTAAAGAGGGCTTTATTTGGCGCGCCTATATCATTTGTGGAGTTTCAACCGAGGGATACATTCATACACATAATTAAATGCCGTGCACCCAAACCTCTATGCA